AGAAGAGCAAGGCATTTAGCACTACAGTAGAGAGAAGGACAGACAAGCCATACCAAACACTGACATGAATATCAGCACAAGCAAACTTGGCAACAGCTATGTGCTCACAGTAGGTATGTGGCAGCAGATTGCTACAACAGAAAGGCAGGCGCTTTACCAGAAACACATCTGGAAGTATCACACAGAAGCTTCTCAGGCCCACAGCCAAGCCAATCTTTATGATTACTGCATGACTGAGCACTGCAGTATAGTGCAGTGGGTCACAGATGGCCACATACCGGTCAAATGCCATCGCCAACACAATTCCTGATTCAGTGATGAAGGTAGCATGGATGACGAAGATTTGGGTGACACAGCCATCAAGGGACATCGCCCCAGCATGGAACCAGAATATAGCTAGGGCCTTGGGCACAGTGGTAGTAGACAGGATGAGGTCAGTCACAGCCAGCATGCAGAGGAACAGGTACATGGGTTCATGGAGGCTGCGTTCAGTGATGATGATAAAGATGAGGAGGCTATTCCCAAGGAGAGCAACAAGGTAGGAAATAAAGAAGAGGAGAGAGGCCACTGGGCATATGTGGCTCTCACTTGGGGTCATTTTCATGTTCTACTTGCTGGTCTTCCAAGCCAGGGATACCTAGCAGAATGAAGAGTGAGTGGCTGATACCAGTGTCGTTGGCAGTTGCCCTGCCCAGGGAAAGTCTTCTGTGCGTTGGTGTGTGGGATTTGGCTGTCACCTCTCTTGTCTTCCCAAAAAGCTGAATGGGGTTGAAGTCAGAGAGGAGGAAACAGATCATTTTTCATTGAATGGAGCAATGAAAAGGGTCCTGGTCAGTAAGTGAGAAGATGTGGGCCAAAATTATTTGCCATTCTGTTCACCAGCTATAAAATTACTTTCCTGCTTTGGGTCTCTCTTTTGTCACATTAAAACTAAATTTTGGGAGAGAATGGATTACATCATCTGTAAGAGAGGCTTTTCAGCTCTAGAATGCCATAGATCTTAGTCTCAGGTTGTAATAAATGGTTAAGAGCTGTGAATAACAAACATTACAGTTTTCACTTTGAGCATCAGAATGTAAT